CTCCTTCGGGAGATGACTGACCTATTTTAGACATTTGGTAGGGACTTTTTGGACGAGTGACCAGAGACATGGGTGAGAAATGGCCGCTTAATTTTGGTTTCGAAACATCTCCTTCATGCTCCTAAGGTTCTTATCTACGACATTGGACCGTCGGCCGGCTTTACTTCCCAACCGTGTGCAACGGATTCTTATCACCCTTAAAAATCCGTCGACCTCGGACGGGTTTGAACCCGCAAACCTTGGGTTGAATGACAAGCACGCTATTACTAGATCACAGAGGGCGATAATAAATTGATTTGTGTAGTAAATATTCAGTCAGCTACGTATAATAAACCATAACATATTACTGATTGGTTATTATTTTTGCCACCTAATCAAATATCTTCTGGTAAATTTGTATTTTTCATACAAAATTCTATTTACACGATTGAATATCCTAACTTAGGACTTTTAAGCGGTTATCCGAAATCTGTTAGTACATTACGAGTTGCATCAAACGCAAATGTACGTACTGCGTTTAACACCTATCTTGGTAAGATATTTGTCTTTTACAATTATGGATATTTTATGGGAAAAGATGTAAGCCAGTTTAAAGAAAAACTTTACCTGTCGAGCTATACAATATTTCCTTGAATATGATCAAATATTAAATCAGCTTATGCAGACACTAACTGTGTGTTATATTTTTGTCTCCTTAATAACACTTCCTTTGAATTTAATGAGTTCACTAAAGCAGTAACTAAAGTAAACTGACGCGGTCTTTCAGTATTTGGTATAAAATTCTCCTCCCTCACAGATATATTTGAAGAGTTGAAAAAAACCTGTTTCGAAAATAACTACCATTGAAATGAAATTTCTCTCTCTTTCTAGCATTTTTCTATAATTCTCGCTTTCTCCACATCGTAAGTATAATTATTTTCCCCGATTACAATGACATAATAAATGTATCCGCAGGTATTTCTTAATCGAACTCAACAACGGTTAGATTCGTCCTGTCACCCACTGTTACTGTTTTACGTTTGCTGGTTTCCATAACATACATAGGTCGCTTATCTTCAAATTCTTGCGAAATATCAAGAAATTTTCTATCACCACTTCACTCGACCCTCTTGAAACATGTACAAGATTAGTACATTTTTAGAAACACATTATTTACGATATCGAAGTTCACCGATTCTTGAGGAAAAACTTCGCTTCTTCCATTTGTAAATGAATGTTCCTCAAATTACGGTAGTGAAAATCACTGGAATTTTATCTTGATTCTTGTTCCTACCAGTTTCGAAAAACACTATAACAAAATTAGGCATGTCAAATTGCCGTGAAGTAATCTGTGTTTTAACATGAAAATCTAAATATTTAAAGTAACAGCTTTTTGGTGGCACTACTACATGTTAAAATACATAGTTATATTCGGTTTTTAAACAAATTAAGCTTTAAAATCAAGTGCGTAGTTCATATTGAACTCAACAACAGGCAATCGAATTTCCATCGTCTTGGAATCTATGTGACCTTTATGTTTTTCTTTCTTTTTTCCAATAGTGAATTTTCGTGGATGTTGTCACATTTCTTTAAATATAATATAAAAGTATATTAGTGATATGATGATTGAAACTTAACAAATTTAAGAATGAGAAAGGTTAGACCCTTAAAAAAACTACAAAAAATTTTCAGAAACAAAATTTAGAAGATACTTAAATTATTAACACCCTAAACATTATTGTTAAGAATAGAGAAATTGTTGAAACTAAATATATTTTTGTATAAACAAATTGTGTAAATTTCTGAAAAAAATTGAAAAAATTGTACGGTGGTGGGGGAAAATGTTTTGTGATAGTGATTGATAACTGCGAAAAACTCTTGCGAGTGGCTGAATAAAAAGGTTTTTGTAATGTTTCGGCCTTAGAAGTCTGTAAGCATTTTTTATACTAACATTCTCTTGTAATCGAAGTTCTCAGAAATGAATACAGTTGTAATTTTAGCCATTGTAATGTGGAAATGTATGGCTCAAATTAATAGCTGCGTTAGAAAATGGCTGTTTACATCTACTTCTTGTCATGAAAAACCCATGTGTAATCAGTGCTATACCAGTTACAATATAATTTTTAGTTGTATATTTTCCTTGATAACCTTTCACAATATTACTAGACCAGAGGTTCCCAAAGTGTGGGGCGCGCCCCCATGGGGGGAGTGGTTTTCTTGGCGAGGGGGGGGGTGTTGTTTATATGAAAATCTTTTTTTAACGAAATATGGAGAAACATTTTTAACATCCTTCGCTTAATTGAGGCAGTTCAGTAGTGGCAGCCATCAAATCAAAATATCGTTCCACAATGAACCTGGAAAACGACTTTAGAGAGATTATTTCAAAACTCCACCCTCGGTATAATAAGTTATGTTTACAGAAACAACCACACCCATCCCACTAATCCAGGCATGAAGCGTATATTTTGTTACAGTTTTTTAAATTAAATATATTGGATAATATATACTAAATTATTAAAAAGTATACTCATAGCTAAATTTTATGTCCAATCTGTTTCCTTGTTTTGGAAGGGGAGCGTGAAATTTATGAAATGTGTTAAGGGGAGCGCAAGGTATAAAAGTTTGGGAACCACTGTACTAGACCGTATGAGGTGTTTTTCTAACGACCACCGTCTGTCTTTCTGTCAACAGCATTGACTTCGAGAAGCAGATCATCCGAGTTTCGTTCCTAATTCCGCATGCTGTGCTGAATGGAAATTACACAATGGCTGGGAAGGTGGTAGCATTGCCGATATATGGCAAAGGACTCTATGAAGCCTCCTTTGGTTAGTGTTACTAACACATAATGTACGCGAGAATTAAGTGCGCTGCATTACTAGCAGACAGAAAATCGTTGTGCTTCTTATCTTCTTTGCTTTCCAAACATCTCGTTCATGCTCCAAAGGTTCTTATACATGCCGTAAATATACGACACGGGACAGTCTGCTTTGCTTCCCAACCGTGTGCAGCGGATTCTTATCACCCTTAAAAATCCGTCTACCTCGGACGGTTTTGAACCCGCAAACCCTGGGTTCAGTGACACGCTCGTTATCACTTCATCACCGAGGGCGATAATAAATTGATTTGGGTAGTAAATATTCAATCAGCTACATATAATAAACCATAACTTATTACAGATTGATTATTATTTTTGCCACCTAATCAAATATCTTCTGGAAAATTTGAGTTTTTCATACAAAATGCTATTTAAAAGACTGAATATCCTAACTTAGGACTTGAAAGTGCTTTTCCAAAATCTACTAGTACGGTAGGAGTTGCATCAAACGCAAAAATACATGCTGCGTTTAACACCTATTCTGGTAAGACTTCTGTCGTACACAATGATGCATACTTTTTGGCAATATATGAATGGCAATTTAAAGAAAATCTTAACGGGTTTTTCTATAGACGATTTCCTGGAATATCATTAATATCAAATCAGTTTATAAATACACTAACTGTGTGTTATATTTTTTCCTTAATAACACTTCCTTTGAATTTAATGAGTTTACCAAAGCAGTAAATAAAGTAAACTGACACGGTCTTTCAGTATTTGGAATAAAATTCTCCTCCCTCACAGAAATACTTTATGAATTAAATAGAACATGTTTCGAAAATAACTACCATAAAAATAAAAAAACTCTCTCTTTCTAATGTTTTTCTATAATTTTCTCTTTCACCCCATCGTAAGTATAATTATTGTCTCCAATTAAAATGACATAACAAAATGTATCCACAGGTACTTCTTAACCGAACCCAACAACGGTTATTTTCTTCCTGTCACCCACTTTTATTGTTTAACGTTTGCTGGTTTCCATTACATACATAGGTCGCTTATCTTCAAATTCTTGCGAAATATCAAGAAATTTTCTATCACCACTTCACTCGACCCTCTTGAAACATGTACAAGATTAGTACATTTTTAGAAACACATTATTTACGATATCGAAGTTCACCGATTCTTGAGGAAAAACTTCGCATCTTCCATTTTTAAATGAATGTTCCTCAAATTACAGCGGTAAAACTCACTGGAATTTTATCTTGATTCTTGTTCCTACCAGTTTGGAAAAACACTATAACGAAATTAGGAATGTCAAATTGCCGTGAAGTAATCTGTGTTTTAATACAAAATTCTAAATATTTAAAGTAACAGCTCTTTGGTGGCACTACTACATGTTAAAATACATAGTTATATTCGGTTTTTAAACAAATTAAGCTTTAAAATCAAGTGCGTAGTTCATATTGAACTCAACAACAGGCATTCGAATTTCCATCGTCTTGGAATCTATGTGACCTTGATGTTTTTCTTTCTTTTTTTCAATAGTGAATTTTCGTGGATGTTGTCACATTTCTTTAAATATAATATAAAAGTATATTAGTGATATGATGATTGAAACTTAACAAATTTAAAAATGAGAATGGTTTGACCCTTAAAAAAACTACAAAAATTTTCAGAAACAAAATTTAGAAGATACTTAAATTATTAACACCCTAAACATTATTTTTTAAGAATAGAGAAATTGTTGAAAGTAATGAAACTAACTTTGTAGAAAAAAATTGTGGAAATTTTTTAAAAAAATTGAAATAATTATACGGTGGTGGGAAAAAGCATTTTGTGATAGTAATTGATAACTTTGACGAAATCTGGAGAATGGCCGAAGAAAATGTTTGTTATACTGTTTCGGCCTTACAAGGTCGTAAGCGTTTTTGATACTAACATTTTCTTGGAATCGAATTTCTCTAAAATGAATACGGTCGTAATTTTAGCCACTATAATGTGGAAATACATAGCTTAAATTAATGACTGTGGTGAAATTGGCTGTTTACATCTATTTCTTGTCATGAAAAGTCAACGTGTAATCAGTGTTATAGCAGTTACAATATAATTTTCAGTTGAATATTTCACTTGATTACCTTTCTCAATCCTACTAGACCGTATGAGGTGTTTTCCTAAAGACCACCGTTTGTCTTTCTGTCAACAGCATTGACTTCGAGAAGCAGATCATCCGAGTTTCGTTTCTAATTCCGCATGCTGTGCTGAATGGAGATTACTCAATAGCTGGGAATTTGGTAGGACTCCCGATATATGGCAAAGGACTCTACGAACTCTCCTTTGGTTAGTGTTACTAGCATATAATGTACGCGAGAATTAAGTGTACTGCACTACTAGCAGACCGAAAAACGTCGTGCTTATTCCAAATTGATGTAAACTTTGCTGGGAATAATTCAACGCGCTGTAAGTTATTAAAGTCAGCTTTATAAAACTAATAAATGAATGAGGATACTACGAATATCGAAGAGTGGCAAAGAGGTGCGAGAAATATGGTTCTACTAAATACCAACGTTCTCCACTCAGACATAAGGGGGTTACCAGCGCGCAAATCACCACTTGCCTCCTAGGCTGCCTATTTGGAACTTCCTTAACTCTCGAATACAATATTTCTTTTTGCTACCAGTGTGATTTTATGTACCTACGGCTATTCTCACTGCTGCTGACAGACACATGTTGCTAGTTCTCCGAAGCAACCAAATTTGAAGTTCAAAACAAAGTACTGTTAATCTGACCGATGTGTTACTGCATTTCTAGCAAAATATCGAGACTCCATCTTGGAATAGACTATGGCCACATTTACATCTAGAAAGACTGATTGGTTAACTACTAATGATGCTTTCATGGCGAGAAGTATCTTGTGGTTCGTCTGTCCGTAGCGTTTTCAGAAAAATGAAACCGAAGGTGCCATTGTGGAAACCCACTAATATGCAACAATTGGATACAAAGTTTCCACTGGGGTAACAATGGGACCTGAGATCACGTCAGTACAGAACCTACATAAGAATATTGAACGGAAGTCAATGTTGTGCAAAAATGACATAGCATACGATGAGCGCCTAAATGACCAACATAACAAAAATGACCTGCGACAACTGTGTAAAAATGGCATAAGGCGCATCAATATCTAGATTTTATTAAAGTAATAACGACTTACGTGATACGGCATAGGAATTGGGAATATTATCAGTCACTTTGCTCTCATCAGAAGCCATGCTTGTCTACCTCTCGTCCTTACTCTATGTAGGACGAATAAAGAATAACACAACAATGCCGAAGTCAAGTGTTTTTATCCCCCATTCGGGGGTTGGTTTAGTTTCTTACACAAGATTTTAAAACGCAACCAACCCCCCGAGGAGCTCCGAAAGGAGCGCTCTGCTCTAGTGTATTATAAAAATTCGTGATTTGTCGTCGTCGTCAATCTATTTGTCGTCAAAAAATGACGTCATCAAAAAATGTTACGTTATATTTGTTTACTAGGCATTGTTGTACCAACACAACAAATTACTTAAGACACTAAACTAACACTTGACCAAGCCCTCCGAAGGGGGGTTGGTCAAGTGTTTTAACCCCCCATTCGGGGGTTGCATTTCAAAAACTTGACCAACCCCCTGAGGAGCTCCGAAAGGAGCGCTGTGCTCTGGTATTCTAAGTTGGAGACAAAAATTGCTGGGAATACTCCAAAAAGCTGTAAGTTATTAAAGCCAGGTTTATAAAACTAATAAATGAATGAGGATACTAAGGACAGCGAAAAGTGGCAAAGAGGTGCGAGAAATATCGTTCTACAAAATACCAACGTTCTCCACACAGACATAAGTGGATTACGAGCGCAAATCACCACTTGCATCCTAGGCTGCCTATCTGGAACTTCCTTAACTCTCGAAAACAATATTTCTGTTACTACCAGTGTGATTTTAACCCTTCAGCGTAGATCCAAAATTTCCACTGGGGTAACAATGGGACCTGGGATCACGTCAGTGCAAAACCTACCTAATAACATTGAACGGAAGTCAATGTTGTGCAAAAATGACATAGCAAACGATGAGCGCCTAAATGACCAACATAACAAAAATGACCTGCGACAACTGTGTAAAAATGGCATAAGGCGCATCAATATCTAGATTTTATTAAAGTAATAACGACTTACATGATACGGCATAGGAATTGGGAATATTATCAGTCACTTTGCTCTCATCAGAAGCCATGCTTGTCTACCTCTCGTCCTTGCTCTATGTAGGACGAATAAAGGATGAAAGAAGATAATTGTGGCATGCGATTAACAATGAAATCATACAAAAAGCTAACTAAAGAACTTCAAATAAAGAGAACAAGTATCATAAGCCTGGGTTCCAAAGAAATGGACTGGCTTCTGGTGGTGGTTCTAATGAAGAGCAGTAAAGAACATTAATGAGTAACAGTCGCTATGTGTCAATACCATAAATACGTATTTCTCAACCGGTGGTCCCAACATGTACCTACTTGGACTGCGGGTTCAAATATATTTTTATTTTTATTTATTCGCCTAAACTGCTCTTAGTTTCAAGGCATTATAATTACATTTCTCAGGAAATTACAAAAGTAACCTACTTTTAGCAGGCTTGTTCTTGTGAGATGGAGGGTGTTCAGTGTTTGAAAAGGTCTTGTTAAGACAGTACAAGGTATATAAAAATATTAGTCATTTAATCACCTCCGCACGCCTTTATTGTATATTAATAGCCCGTAGGATACAAATATTACACTTATCTTAGTTTCCCATCATCGAAAAAGGATTGGCGACCTCTATCCTCCTCATTCTGTCCAAAGGAATGTAGGACAGAAATGTCAAATTGATCACGATCGCTTACATTCAGGCTCTTACCTACTCACATTAATTATATTTTCATCTAGTTTTTAATTTGTGTACTTGAACAATTTCATTAATAACCAACGGTTTAACGTCTTGATGAACATAAGAAGTTCCTTAACAGTAGAATCAATTATTAAACTTATTAAAAGCCTCCGATATCTGTTTTTGTTGACAAAGTTCTTTTTTTCTCAGATGGGCTCAGTGCCAATTATTCAACAAACTACTCCCTGACCACGTTACAGGACGGTGAACTGTATGTGATTCCGCAAGCTTATGACTTCGATTTCGATGTGAAGTTGATGAAAGTGCACGTCGAGAACCTTTTCAACGGGAATAAATTTCTCGGTGAGGTCCTATATACTGAACAAGAACATACTTATAAGTATGTCTGCATATATGAATTCAATTAGGGAATTCCAATTCAACAGCGAAAACTTTACAACCTAATAAAGAGAAAGAATCCATGGGATCCTCTTTTTTGAACTGAAATCATAACGAATAATTTGAACTGGAACAACTGAACTGATAAATATTAGGAAAGGGGGAGGGATAATGCAAAACAAGAACGCGTCTGGACAACAAGAGCAATGAAGTAAGTACAAAGTGTATGACACTTCAGAATGAAGAACATCATACCGTCAATTTACGGTGGAAAATTGACACTAAATTCTATAGTAAACACAGCCTATGTGAAACTAATTATTATATAAATGTATGTGGTCTTTTGGCTCAGAAAAATGTTGAAGGTGCCTGCTTGGACTTATTCAATTCAATTCAATTCACTTAATTCATTTAAGTGCTTGACAACAGCCAGGTAATAATAAATACATAATATGAATAAAAGCGAATCCGGATTGCTATATGAAAAATATCTAGCCACTTAATAATTTAGACAGTTAGTTAACCTATTTAGATAGGCATTTCCGTGGGCACTTATTTGGGAGGTTATTTAGAGATAAATTTATAATTTTCGGAAGGAAGTGGCCCTTTAAAATACACCCGAAGCAAGAAATCTTCACATGAAAAATATATTCAAGTTACTTAAGGAGCAATAATTTCAGAAAATAGTAATGTTTTTGCGGTTATGGTAGCTTTCCCTTGAGCGTCATGTTTGAAGTCACTGTATTTCGTTATTAAATTACCAGTCAATAGCTAATGTAATGATCTAAGTACACCACATGGAAATTCAGTCTTGTAGTAACGATGGAAAGAAAATACACACATGGCTTGGGGTGTTTTGTTATAGAATTCTGTTTTGCAGCACTAACTCATTACATTTAACGAAACATTTATATTATTTGTTCAAAAGCGAAATGTGACACTTCGTTAACTAATAAAATAAGAGGCTAATCATATTATAGTAATTATGTAATCAGTGAAATAGGTCGGTTTGTAAAAACAGAGAAAATTCAGTTGCTGACATTTGTGTCTTTACAGGTGACAACATGAACACATTTCTCAATGAAAACTGGCGTCTCGTCATTGATGACCTTGGCAAGCCTATGTCCCACGCCTTAGGCAGCATAGTGCACAGAATTCTTTCGAACATCTACAAGAAGATTCCATTCAAAGAAATGTTTGCCGAATGAGTCAGACCCGTTAACTGCATGTTTTAGAAGTTATACGTTGCATTCGATCTCATATACTTCAATATAACCACTCCAGCTTTTCGAACCAGTTTACTCAGCTTCTCAGTGTATTCGTCTCAAGGGTCCCTTGATCGAAAACAGATCACAGAGGCAGATAATTAGTTCTGAAGTCTATAAGTCCGTCCAGTACAACAGTTCCTTCCAGACTCTCTGTCACAATATAGTCCTTCTGATATGTAGTTATACAGACTTAAAATATTTTCTAATAAAGAATATAAATCATGTGTAGCAAAACTTCTCTTTCACTGGCATCTACTTTATTAAACCATTTCATACAGAATGAATAGCCGTGCCTCTAGGCTGTACACCTTCATTCACACAAAACTCAACACCTGTGTCAGTCTCTATACGTATGCACCATGTATACTCTCTTAAGAGCAACTCCACAATACTAAAATTGAGAAAACAATATCATGACTTGCCCACGCGGCCTTTCGTCAAAAGAATGACTAAAGTACAAAAACACTTTGAAAGAATGTAACAATTTGAATTTATGAAACTCCATAATCTTGCAAGTCACAGATGGCAAACAGATGCCAGACATCACCAATAATAGAATCCAGAAATCAGAAACTATCACATGTCACAAGTCATGAATATCAAACTAATATAAGCCATAATATACCAACAATAGAAGTGGAGTAAGCGCACGGACATCAAAGCAAAGTTTGCCCCGTTACAACATAAGTATGTTAGGTTTTTTAATCAGGTACAATTACTTTATGACTGTGTCCATATTTAACAATACAGATTTCCTATTACAGAATTCAAATACGCTGGTCTGTTAGAATACAACTGAGAGGAAGACGACGAATGCGAGCCCGAAGCTGTGCCGAGTTTTGCCGAAGCATTGGCAAAAGTGAACTCGTTCTTTTATGCCCATAATATTAGTGAACGTGACGAGGAAACATTTTGAACGTGGAAAGGGTTCTGTTTGGCCTAAAACGTAAAGTTTCGACAAACCAGTTGTCCATTAAAGACTTTTTTGGGTGTGTGTGTGTGCGTGCATGCATGAACGTTTGCGTGTATCTACTAAAAACCCTAGTTATTCCTCTCATTGGCACATTTTGTCTGTAATAAGGAAGAAATGCATTACAACATATGGCGAGTGGATGGCGTCATTTTACAATGTGAAATTCGAGCAACTACGACAAAGGCCTGCTTGTTATACCGCTTACAGGGCATAATATGTTTCTTACTTTAACTACCACTGCAAACTAAGTAAGAAAGCGTATATAATTCTTCGTTTGGATGTTATCCACGGCCAAAATGTTGTTCAATTACAATCACAGTGTTTCGTTAGTTGGTTCACAAATGTGTCTTCAGATGGTAGGACAACACGGCACTGTGTTGGGTGCCGCGGGGGAACAACTCTCAAACATGACCTCCGTGAACAACAAAGTGGTTTTTGTCTACCCAATTGAAGACAGGCGTAGAATCAACTTCCAAATGGTGTGGTTTTAGTTGAAATACCGACATAGATACTATCGGTAGAAGCCGTTATGACTCACCAAGTGTTCTGGTTCGGAACTCAGTCTTTTCCAGGAGATACCGAAAACGCCTTCGACTGAATTGATGAGCTGTGTTAACAGATTGGTAGAGTGTGCTATCAAAATCTGGGTCGCACACTTTGAAAGTTTCATTCAACTAATATTTCGCCGACAGATTAAACAAAGTCATAAATCTGTTTGTTTTCTTATCACTCAAGATGCCAAGGCATTTCATAACGCCTGAACTTTTGTAATCACACATCAGAAGGCACATTAAGAAAGGATTTTATTTAAATTTGTTTATACGAGTTCTCATTCAATTCTAGTATAAATGTGTAATTTCTGTGACCTCAGTGTCAGCAGAGACCAATATCATTTTCAAAAGGCCGATAACAAATTTAGTATACTGAAGGTAAAATAAGCACACATTTTAGGTACTCAAACAACTTAACTGTTCACACTTTCCCAGTTCTATTTATCATAGAGAAACACAATCCTCCTTGATATTTCGTGTACGTATAGGCTGTTACTCTAAATGGCGTATTTGGGTTGTTTTTATTTCAGTCCCTGAATGGCATATTTTCGTTGTATTTATTTTAGTCATGTGCTCGCATTATTTAAGAATTTGACATTATACTAGACATTGTACATGAGTGTAAAAAGTGTTGATTTATAATGTAAGCTACTATGTAAGTAAATAAGTAAAGAAATCTAATTGTATCTAGAATGTTTCTTTCCAAAGCTAGTCTATCATGCTTTGTAACCGCATTATTTATAACAAATTTTAAAACTACCAATAGTAAGGAAACTTGATATTTGAATAGTTTTTGTGAAACCTTAAGCTGATAAATTTAATTTTCGTTACTATACATATGGTTATTATACGCTTTACGGTTATTATATGCTTTTTAAATAGTTAAAATAAGAAATAATCGCAGTAATGCAATTTTTCTATTATTTTACTCAGACTTTAATTCTCTGTCAGATCCATCTTCCACAATTATTCCTGTCATATCCAATAAGTTATGAAAGAACAATAGGAGAATATCGATCGTAAATATGTCTCCTTCTTGTTCATCGCGCATGCCAGGGACATCACAAAGCATTATAGATTGCGTGTGACATCGTTGAATACAATTTACTTATTTGGAAATTGTCCTATGCCAATAACTTCTGAGACGACAGAAAAATGTAATGAATTCTTCTCGGGCCACCAGCCGTGTAAGTTGGTTTAATGGCGAAAACAAAAGCGTATCGAGAACCATCGTCGTCCTCGTTCTCAGGGTCATATCATACAAGACAAAACAAGTTAGTAGGGAAACCACATGAGGCAAATTCAGTCCTTCTGAGTCTCTGTTTCTTATCTTGGAACGTGAATGCAGTGTCATTGCTAGGAAATCGTTTAAGCAATATACTAAGCAAGAAAAATCTTTACATAGTTCCTTGCAGTAAACTTACAATTTATGATGTAATTATGAGCTTTCGCTAAGATGTGGATAGCAGTTACAGATATTAAATACAGTTCATTAAATATGACTGTTAAAATAAATAAACAACTTGAGTATTTCAGCATATAACCTGGTCACTGAACCTGTATTTTGGCAATTGCATGGATCAGACAACAGCTGTCTACTCAATCAATGTCAGTGAAACAAATGCAGAGCAGATTTCAGGCTCCTAATATGAAGTATAAATACACTCTCCCATGCACACTTACATGGCGCGTAACGGTGTGACGTTACCTTACAGGTTGAACAAATAAAACGTAAAGCATTTTACTGTAACATTTTTCATGAACTTTAATTCACAGAAATAAAAATTGAACGCATCTGAGTATTATTCAGATTGAGTCAAACGTTTATTGGATAATATAAGGCCATATTCTGGGAATCAAAACAATAAAAATGTTTCTATAAACATGGGGTCGGAAATAATTCTTAGCCTAGATATTATAACAGAATGGGGAACACAAATTCTGTAACAGTGTTTATTGCGATGTATCTAATTCTGGCTGATTGTGGAAAGCTAAAATTCGTGACACGTTAGAGTGTGAGGTGGTTCTTCCCAGCAGCAATCCGGTGAAAACTAGAATGTGGACTTGCTTCGACTGTGTCCTCCAAAACCACCGACAGCGATATAAATACGACAGGACGGTCCGGCACAGTGATCCTGTTTCACTGGCACGACGATCCACAGAAATAAATGTAGATTCCGATGACAAGCGTCTGTTAGCAAATTTTTCTGCATAACGGCTACGCGATGTTCTTGCGTTGCATACCATTTCGCCAGGTGTTAGACGGATGTAAGTCAATTCTTCAAACCTCCATCTAGCAGACTAGAGCACTTGTAAACTAAATCGTAGACTTTCTTTTTTCTGAAACATCAACAGATATGCAATCAAAATGTGGTGACGTCGCACTAACACCACTCGTTCCTGGTATTCTGTTATCTGAGTTAATAGAAGGGATGAAAGTCCAAAGTTCAGTAGAGTGGCATTAGAAGAACAATTCAGTGGTATCTAGTTAAGCAAGCATTTCCGACCCCATGTTCATGTGAATTATTGTTAATGTTTTGATTCCAAGAACATGCCCTTAAATATTCCAACCATACTTCTGACTCACTCTGTATAAGATAAAGTTTTTGTGACCTTTATTTACGGATGTACAATGAGTGGCCCAGCAGCTATCATTACTGCGTTCAATTTCAATTCACAATTCAAGAAGCGAGTCGACGGTAATTGTAGCTAATGCACACGTTATCTTTCCGGCAAGGAGGTGGTCAATGTTAGCACGTACACAGCATCCTTGATGTAGCCAAAACTGAAAGAATTAAGGGGAGTGAGGGCAGTCGAAAAAGGATGCCAAGTGTTAGTCCCGCCACTGCCAGTCCATTTTTCTGTAACCTTTGTTTTTAAGAAGTCTCAGTCTTCTTGGAACAGCAAGCCATCGAAACCCTCTTCTTCCAAAGAAGGTGTATGAAATTCCTCCAGAATTACTAGGTAAACTATGGCAGTGGCAGAACTTTCAGCAATTGTATTTTCTTGGGACAAAGCTCAAAACACATTCAACTTTGTAATGTCTCTCGTATATTCAATAACTTCGTGATGACTACTGTTCCCCCAAAGTCTCAGGTAATGTCGATTAACTTTTTCCATAAATGAAACGTGGTTCTATCAATGAAGACAAGTTTGGCTGTAAAGAGTTCGTAGCTCTTGAAAGAAAGTTAGAGAGGATTATGTTGCGAAGTACTTTGCATTGGGCATTTAAATGTTGTAATAGTTCACACATATAACGTCCGTGACCGAGTTAAGTCGATAAGTTCCCATAGAAGGCAAAACATGTACTCGTAGTGTATGTATACCGAACATTTTTATAAGCATTTTGAATAGATGGCCAAGAAGTGGACATTATTAAATGAACGAACGTTGGTCGCTCTGTACAGAAGTGTTATCAAAATGAACCTTAGAATCACTGTTTGTAAATGTGTTTTAATTTTCAGTTTGGTATAAATTCTCATTACCTACAGAACAAGAGTATCTTGAAAATTATTCTCAGGGATTGATCCTTGTGTGCAGTAGATATGTGTGTATGTACATGTGTATATACATATATATTTATTTATATATAATATTCCAACCTGTATATCATTATTATTGTATTTATATTCACATTACATGTTTCAACCTTACTATTCCATCTTCCGTTTCGTGAATTAAAAAATTGACGATCTTAAATTTAGCAGGTGGTATGCACATCACGCTTATGCAGCTTGTTAACCTATATCTTGATTCTAAA